GCTCTAGACCACTCGGCAACCTAGGCTAAACTAAAAATTCAGTTTTCGGTGGCCTATTGATACCTTTCCTCGTCAGTAGAATCTAGAGTTGTAACACAGTACATGATATATTAAATTAGGCATTAAGATGGAATTGATTGCAGATTAACTAAATTATGTGTCGTAGAGGATCGTAAGATGCAGTCACAGAAATAATTATATGATAAGTACGTCTAAACAAGTGAAAATTCTACGATCGATCCATTGGATCACCAGTGAAGGTCAACAGTGAAATCAATATATATATAAAATGAGAAATCTTTTAAAATCTCAAAATATTCCATATGACATTGTCATTTAAAAAGTATATGTAGATCATTGCTTAGTCTGTATATCATTACTGGATAACACGCAACGTTATAGAAACAAGTAAATATTTTATAAATTACTTAACTCCACATTCAATTTTTTTTTTTGAAACCTATATTTTTATGATTTTCAGATTGGCTACCTAAGTAGCACTCAAGAAATACAAAATTATTAGTATATGTGTAAATTGTAAATATAACCACATAAAACACGATTTAAATGGTATTAACAAAATATGTATTTATGTGAACATTTTTTCCCTCAAGTTTCTATTTAAAGGGCTATCGATAATATAATTATGAAGTAGTATGGAGAAACTGACAAAAGGGTTCTTTATCTACCTTGTCTTTTCAGAAGATGTATGCCCACCTTGGCTTCTAGTTCTAATCTTTCGGGCCGGATCTGTCTACAGCATATTTAACGTATTAAGCGCTCTTTCTGATCAATGTCCGAAAAAGTCTTTTTTTTTCAAAATTATCATAGTTTTTTTTTCAAACCTGGACCTCTAATATCTTATAAAATTCTCATCAATGGATTCAAAAGACCATTCAAGTACCATATGTACGGACTCAGACTTCAATATCAACGCATTGTAATGCGTTTCAGGGACAGATCCAGCCATTTTTAAAAGGGGGTCCAACCCAGGATAAAGAGGGTTCCAACCATATGTCCCCATTCAAAAGCATTGATCGTCCAAAAAAGGGGGTTCCAACCCCGGAAACCCCCCCCCCCCCCCCCCCCCCCCTTCTGCATCCGCCACTGCGTTTTCGATTAATTAAACTATTTTCTCACATACGAATTTCAGTCATAAATGACCATGAAAGGTAAACATAATATTTCTATTTAAGTCAGTATACAACTAAACATTTCAGTATTTACAAGCAGTAATTCGATCACTAAATGGCATTGTAACATGAAGAATAAGAAATAACGTATGTCTTAATAATATACAAGAAACAAATCTTTTAAACCCTAATTTATCTAACAATAAGATAAGATCTGTCTAGTAGATAGCAAAAAAGATATCATTATTTACATTAAAAACTGCCACACTGTCGTATAATAGAGTCGTATAGAATGTATTCGGTTAGGAACCACTAGCACGGTGAGTATAAATTAAAAAAATCTCGAAAAAAGGTGAGGTTTATGAACATTTACATATTAATAATACTTTATTTCACTTCATGTTATTTTTAGGCGTAATTTTCGTTTTATGTTTAGGCTATGGCTGGTATACAAATTTCGAATGATTTAGTAAATTCCACAGCTTTATGTCTTTCTTTTATACGAATAAAAACAATATACAATAGGAAAGAAAATTGTGTGATATTTGACCGCTATAAACGTATTTTCATATTCACTTCACCAATTTATATATAATTTTCGAAAGACTCTCAAAAATACTGCCACTTATGCTGGAATAATTATTCAAAACGGAAAAAATATATGAATAATAATGTGCTATCATAACTAATCCGAGATCGCTCAGAGCAACCTCGAACTACATGATAACCTATAAGGTATTTATATAACTTGATTATTAAAATCCTGCTTTACTGGTAGCACAATACATGTACCAACAAATCATTTCCATATTTCATTTCATCGTATTTGTACTCGCAAAAAAAACTGCTGACGAAACTGTGTGTTCATTTACCATAAAAATGCCTTCATTCTGATATAGACTGGGAAACACTTTCCCCATTCCGGGCCGTAGATACTCCACGGCTGTCAATCGGTATATCGAGAGAAATGATCGTGAAAGAATACCTAACGGTGGTCAAGCATTGCGATCGGATCGTGAATGTAATTAATTGAAATTCTACTTCAAAATCTGTGAAAAATATGTTGTATTTTCAAAACGCGGAACAAATCCCCCCAAAAAAATTATGTCTGTCAAAAGGATTCAACTTTCTTGATAATACTGTGCAATAAGATGAATAAAATATGCAGTACTTTATGAGAAAACACAAAAGGTGCAACACAAGTCTATGGGATTCATTAAAAAAAGAACCCGTTTTGTACCTATAATGACTACATTCCAATATATAATGATATATTTGAAACTTAATCTTTGGTGTGACAGATTATACAGTTAAATTAAAGTTTTTTTTCCCTTGAAACCGTACATTTTGTTTTTAAAAACACTGAATTTTTATTGATTTTTCATTAAAATTGATCGTGAAAGATCGGGCAACGCATTATCTCGATCGTGAAAGACAATGCGTGACCAGACAGACGCAGGACGTTTGTGCTTTTTTTTTACCTGTAACCTAAAGGACATTTGCGCTTTTAACGTTGATACACCTGAACAAAATTGACAAGACATTTGCGCTTTTTACCTATAATAGTTGTATACCTGTAATCTTGAGAAAATTTACCAAAGTCATGGAAAGATGTTCACATATTCTTTGAAAGTTCATCCGAACATCGTAAATAATTGCAAAGATATTTCACCGGATTCCCGTTTGCCTCCACGTCTTTGGGCATCCAGCAGAATTCAAGCGTACTACGTATTTTTTTAGCATGTTAAGACGTGTGAAATTAGTACTTTTAATCTTTAGATTTACTATTTTCTGCATTTTTATCTGTATATTGTTCCAGGACTAAGTGCGTGTGCGTAATTAGACGGACTTATCCTGCTCGAAAATAATAGTTGAATAAATAAATAAGCATATTCTACCTTATTTACCTGAATTTACCTCTAAAAGAATGCGCGCAAATGTAATCAAAAGCTGTGCGCAAACGTAATGATTTTTTTGCGCGCAAATGTAACGGTAATGCGCGCAAGTGTAATTGCACCGGTTTCTCGGTAAGCGATAGAGAAAACGAAACTTTTATGGTTGGAACAATTAAATCTTGATCGAAATTCTTCGATTAGCTTCCTTCTCGGTGCATTAAAATTGGAAACTATATTCCTCTTGTGGTTATTCTGTTGCATGGATTGTCCGAGGAACTGTACCATCATAGTTTATCTAAGATTGTTTCAATTTGTGAAGACTGAAATTTTATTTTTAAACCACCTGCTGTACCTGTTGAATATTAGAAAGAGTCATATGGTTGTTATAAGGAATTTACTCCCATCAACTCTCTTGGAGTGTTGTCGTATTCATTTGACACAAGCATGATGGGGAAAGGTTGATGCTTTTAGCTGAATATAAATGTATGAACGTTTTGTGTGGGTTTTTTTTATATTAAATGATTTTCATGTTATGTTGAGAAAGCGCAAATGTCCTATTGAAAAAGAGTAAATGTCCTTTTTTCAAATAGTGCAAATGTCCATTTAAAAAGTGCAAATGTCCTGTCAAAAAGTGCAAATGTCCTGTCAAAAAGTGCAAACGTCCCGCGCCGGACCAGACTTAATAATAAGAAAACAATATTTCTTTTACCACTAGTAAAAGTATACAATTATGCATCTGTAATGCTTAATGCATCCGCCCTGGAAATATATGCATGGGTACGTGGTTTTTTTTTTGTGTAAGGGATGTTACCTTCGGTTATAAGGAGTATCGTTCATGCGTACATCGAACGACAATATTGGCTAATTTATTGTTTATTTCGTGGCTGCGCTAACATAAACTAAAAAGTTACCAAGATAACGTTATTTATACTCGATTGTTCGATCAGTCTGTTCACAATAGCTATACGTCATTTTACCAACTTAGTGGGGAAATTACCAATCAACGTACCTCGCGATCGATTGTGCATGATCCCCAGGTTGAACTGTAATTTAGCCGATTAGGCTCTATTCTCAATCTTAAATTTGTATAAGAAATCAAAACGCTTATGAAGGACGGAAAATAGGACTAATATTGCTATAAGGCACCTATAGTCGGTTTGGTATTATAAGATAATCAGATCCAATGGCATTGAACGATTATAGCCCTTTTCACCAACAAAAGAGAACCGGAATGAGTCATGCAAATCCAATATTTGCTATACCAATTAAAAATAGAAATTACCATATAATTAGATAATGAGTTGAACGTTTTCGTAGCATCAGATCTTTCACGATCCTGTTCACGATCTTCAAAAAGCGGTACACGATCTTTCACGATCCAAAAAATCATTTTTTTGTAAATATTTCCATTTTTTGCAAAATTTCTGATTATGCTTAAACAAAATAACTGTAAGAACCATTTGAATCATTAAATGGAATGACATTTTTCAAAGAAAAGTTGTTTAGTCATTCGAATTATGAAAAACAATCTTGTTTGTTAATTTACATATTTATTGTCATTGAAATGTCGAGGAGCAATCTGCCTTTTGTAGTTTTGTAAGAACGGTTTACTTTTAAACCTTGATTTTTCTCAGACACTGATCACTATGTTGAACCATTTTGACAGACAGTTTTATTTTTTTGTAAACTGATTTGTCCGTATAATTCATTATATTAGATTAGTAATTGACCTTGCATATGTGTTCTCGATAAGATTGAATTCATGATCCTATACCAGAGCTTTCACGATCCAATCGTAATACTTGACCACCGTTAGGTATTCTTTTGCGATCTTTTTTCTCGATAAACATAAACCGAATGACACCCGTGTACTCTATTGTAATCACTTCTTTCGGTAAGTTGTTAGACCTTTTTGTGCATAGTTATTTCCCCTTGTTTAAAAATATCGAAATTACTTCCCTTGTGTTGTTGCTATTGGATAGCTTCAAAATGGAGGACAAGCCCTGAATTTAATTTAAATAGCTCTTCGTATCTTCGCTTCAGAGCGGTTCACAAACAATAATATAAATATGGCATCTGTTTCAATCAAAGGAAAAATGACAAAGTCGATCTTTAAAGCAGAAAGAGTTGATCCAGTAAGAATCTCATTAACTGGCTGTGGATTAAATTTAAAATCTTATTCACATCGAAATTTATATATGTACTTCATGAGGGTAGTAATGGGGTACCCCATATGACGAATGACGGTAATATATTTGTTAAAATAACATTAACAATAAACATTTTACTCCATTTGATGCTGACAGTAGCTACATACTGAGATTTGATGAAGGACAATAAAAAAAATTAAGGCTCATTTGACGCTAACAGGAGCGAAAAACAGATGTTGACGCTCGATGATAAAAGGCATTCCTACCCTCCTTAATTAGAACATATTCCCAACTAAGTTGAAAAATTTGAAAATACCTTTACTTGAATATAATTTTTATTTGCAAGAAATGAGATTTTTTGAATGTGTGAACTGCCCCTAATCATAATATGAGGCAGGTGTTTCCTGTGCATACATGTGAACCTCCCGACGGGAGTACAATAATCCCGTTTTCAGGGGTCTCCTCCCGACCTCCCGTTGAAGACAAAAAAATCCCGTGTATGAAATATTTCATGAATGAAAAATTTCAGCCCAACATATCTGGTGTAACTGACATTACCTGAAGTTATATTTGACCTGTAAATCAATTAACATGCATAATTATATGGCTTCACTTGTCACCTTGGGTGTCAAACATACTGGTAATCAACGATTTTTACCTCAGGCTAACTGCCGTTGTGTAATAAAACTTTGTGTATTTAAAATGAATGTTGGGTTACTTCCCTTGATTTATCCTGTTTTAAGTTACTTTCCTTTAAATAATGTAAATTTTTAAAAGAATATAAATAAAATATAAATTGAACAAATAATCATAAAAGGATGGTAATTAAATGATTTTAAATGTATTAGGACAAATAAAAAAATAATAATTTGAAAATTATTTGAGGGTTCTATACTTCCTTTCAAGGCTTAAATTGAAATTTATATAATAACTATGACCCATAATGTGTTACTGTCATGGTTAATACTACATCCGAGACTCATCTACCAGTACTCCATCATCAAGGTTAGCGGGCTGCCAAGCTGACCAATCTGGCCCTGAAAGCAGCCGTTGTGAAGACATAACAACAAAATAGTCAACAAAAGAAAAACCAAAACAACTCACAAAACCAAGATGGCGGCCTACCAAAATGGCGTCCACCACCTGTTCCTGACCGATGGCACAAAATTATTTAAACGCTCACCAAACGCCTTCGGGCACCGAGCCGACCGTGCGAGGGATGTATATCCAGTCAAGGTCGTTAAAAACTTCCATTTGTGTGTTACTTATGCATTAAAAATCTACTTGCATAAAGATAAAATTAAAAGATCTACTTGCAGATAGATAAGCAAATGTTCTGATTGCAATGAAAAATGGTAAAAAAGATGTGACCTAAAAAATTTAAAGAACATAGTAAAAAAGAAGAATGTTAGATTGAACCAGTTGAAAGTTTAAAAAGATAGAGAAAATTTATAAGTACAAGGGTACTATAAACATAATACATTCGGATGGAAAGTTGAAGAAAACACACTTTAACAGACAATTTCTACAGCACACGGTTACATTTACGACAGAATTTATGTCGATTAAAAACCTCCTGTTCTGAGTCCTAATCTCCTGACCAAAATTTCCCAAACTCCTGATCTTAGTTTCACAGTCCATCACATGTATGCCTGTGAATGGGGACAAAGTCAGCAAACCTTTAGAATACTTTAGATTACCCCGTTAATAGCAGATTTATACATATAAACATTTATTGCAAAGAAATTCCCAGCATAATTTCTGGTGAAATATTGTTTGCTTAGGAAGTCTGTTCAACAAAATGTTAACGAAATGATCAGACTTATGAGCACTAACGTCACAGTACCCAAATTGCACTTATTAAGCAAAAATAGCAGTAAAAATCTTACAAGTTTTCTTAGGGACTAAACAATTTGTATTTTTATATTATTTGACATCATCATGATCATGCACGTCTTTCAAATAGGTAAATATATTTAGATATTCGCAAAACATTCACAGTAAATATCAACAGATGAAGTGTTCACAGGAAAAAGTAAAATCTACGGAAACGTCGCCACAAAAAGTCATCTTTTAAAAATGAGCAAATAAAATATGTTACTAGCATCCATTTCTTAAGAAATAAATAGTTAGCATGGACTTATGTCAAATTGTTTTAAATATTTGAAGAAATAAAACAAAACATCTTTTATTTGATTTTTAAGGATATGAATATAAGCATGGATGCAATTTGGGTACTCCTCACAGAATAATGGATCGTTTGGAGGTCGGTTCAAACCCATTTTTCTATGATTAAATAGGGATTCAAAATTAAATTGGTGGAACTATATAGTAAATAAGAATACATCTACAAAATAAACACAGAATGGACACTTTTGTCTGGATCATAAACAAACGTAGGTGAAAAAACTGTCAAAATAGGTGCAATTTGGGTACCCTCACGTTAGGGTTTAGATAGTTTTTGATATGAAGTATTTTGAGTTTTTGGAGTTATTTCCATTGACTGCCATGTTGCAGCCAACATTTAGGAATTCTTTGGTTCAAGATTTAAAAACTTCAATAACTCTGACAAACCTTTGTGGATCATCTTCATAATGTAGAACTGAGCAAAATTTAGATTTTTCTTTTTCATCATTTTTTTTTCTACAGTTTAAATTATGTGGGCTATTTTTTTTCTGGCAGTCTACATTTCATTTTCAATGTCAACAGCAGTAGCGGCAGAGATTAAGAGTTCTGTGGAACTTCTAAGAATTTTCTTTTCATATTGCACATATTTTAAATCAAAAGAGGGGAGCCATATTTCTGTGTTAAGTTTTGCATATATTTTTTCACAGTTGGCGTGAGTTGCATGCAGGTATATTCCAATTTAAAATGTTTTTATTCTACCTTGTGTTTTTTTTGTTAATTGTTGCTGTCTCATTCATATATACAAATTGTACAAATACTTTATTAAATCAAATCAATTAAGGGGCTGCCTGTTTCCAAGCATATATACATGTACATATATAGTATCAATTAAACAGTAATTTTAAGATATGTTACATTTAAACAAATGAATAAATAACTAATAATCCATACAAATGGTGTATAAAAAATAAACAGAATAGTAACCTTTATTGATATATAGAACATAAACTACATGTATATCTAGTTACTGGAAAGAAATTTACTCTTATTTCAAAACAAGTACTAATAAATCTTGACACTGATATATTTAAATTTTCAGACTCACTGGACATCATCAAATAAACTGTCCATACTTAAAAATATAAGGGAAATTTTTACATTGAATACATGCTTCCTCAAGAATAAAATTTCTTTCCTGTTCATATGCAGTGCATGCCATAAAAAAATGAAACTCGTCTTCAACCTGCATATTTTTACACTAACCACAAATTTGTTTATCTCTATCCATTCTTTTATATCCACCTTTTTTTTAAAATGTAGCTTTTTCTGTTTTTATCATTTGCATTATTATCTATAGTATTTTTCCAGTAAATCCTATATCTACTAATTATTTTAAACCTTTTCAATGTCAAAATTTTCCATAAATACTTATAAACCGTTAACCGTGGCCATATCACCCAGTGGCAGATCCAGGGGGTTAGAACCCCCCCCCTTTTTTTATTTGACAATCAATGCTTTTGAATGGGGACATATGGTTGGAACCCTCCCCCCCTTTATATCCTGGGTTGGAACCCCCTCTTTTAAAAACGGGTGGATCTGCCCCTGTCACCTTTTATTCATTATGAAACGTGTTCAAATTGTGACACTGACTACAATTTTGTAAGTAACAATTTACTTTGTTTTTTTAATACAGAATTAGAATAATAGTTAAAATGTTGATGATTGAAAGACAAATCTTTATATCCATTGTAATGCACATTTTACTTTTTATACAGATGACTATGCCATCCACTCCATCTAGTGGTAGATTTGAGTTCAAAATTCCAGAGCGTAAAGATGAAATACCTGTTTTAGAATTTGTCAGGTATTTGAGATACTTTAGTGAAAATTACATAACACTTAAACATGCGCATGTATCAATAAGCAGATGTCTTTTATGGTGGAATTATGATGATGTACATTAATATACATGTATATTTTTTAAATACAGTTTTGTAATTTTGCCAAGGATAAAAAAGCAATTTTGAATATTTTTTATAATTGTATTCTTTGATTAGTTATTCTATAATTAAATAGGCAAATACTTTTTTTAAATTTTGACTTGGATGGAGAGTTGTCTCATTGGCACTCATATGATACCACATCTTCTTATATCTAACTAATGATAGAGTTTTGCTATATTACAGATATATTTGTTTTACAGAATAAAGTTTAAAAATAATGTTTTTTTTTACAATATTTAAAAAGCATTTTTTTAAATTGAGAATGGAAATGGGGAATGTGTCAAAGAGACAACAACCTGACCAAAGAGCAGAAAACAGTTTTATTGTCCACACACACACCATGACATCTGCTGCAAGTGAACATGTTAAACATATTTGTTTATGTGAAGTTGCTGCAGACATTAAAATTATACTGATTATACTAATTAATATTATCATTATTTGTGTTAGGAATATGTAATTAGTTATATTAAAAACAACATTGTAATAAAAAAAAATTGAAGTTATATACTGTACTTTCAAAGTGAATTCTTATAACAGAATTTATTTTCCCACAATTGATATTTGACTTTTTTGTGTATTTGACCTGAATGGCTAAATCTACATTTTACATTGAAAATGGTATTGCCAGGGCAGCCACCTTACCTTTATATTCACCTGCTCAGAATAAGATAGGAATATAAAATCTTAGAATTCTGCTTAAATATTGCTAAAAATTAAAAACAAAAAACAAAAAAAAAAGAATTATGACTTGATATAGTGCTGACTTGCAATATACATATATTTTTCAGTAATAATCCAAATGCAGATAAGAATAAGAACAGGCGAGCTAAAGAAAGCAATAAAAGAAATGAAAGGTATGCATATATTTTACACGGAACTTAACAATTTGCTACTGCTATCACTCTTTTATTTTACTTTGTCAAAAGAAAATAATTTTCTTTGAAACCTATGAGCCATTTCCGACGGAACTTGACCTGAATTATCTTTAAGGGTTTCTTTTTCAAAGTCTTATTTAGTGCCCAACATATTTACCTATTCTACTTAACTGTTTTAGAGTGCTTTTAAACTGAGTTGTAATGTAAAATAATTGATATTTATGAAAATGAATGAAAAAGTCATCCAATCTTAAATGTTAATGCAAAAAGAAACCCTCTCCAGTTGACTGGAAGCCAAATTTGATGGATCATTTTGTTAAGCTTTTTATGTTGATATATTTTGTTAGCAATATCAATTTTATGATTTGAATTTAAATTTTTCAGTTATGTGTTTTTATCTTAATTGTCATTATAGAGTTACATCTAGTGTGGCTAAATCGCATGGTCTTAGAGGGAAAAGTCAAAGAGGCAACCATCCTAAGTCACCACGTCCTCCTAAGAAAAGCTCCAGTGAACATGATATTGTCACACTTGATGATGTAAAAGGTTTGTAGATTTCTGTGATGCTGACTGAGGGTGTCATGAAATAGAAGTTCCAAGTGGAAGAAATATTCTGTAATATTATTTCCACTGGAACAAATATTACAGTATTTGTTCCTTACGGAATAAAGGGTATAGAATATTTGTTCCAACAGGAACAGTTATTATGGCATTGTTTATAACAAAGTTTCCAGGGGAACTTCTGTTAGATGGAATAAATAATCGTTGACAAGGCAATTACATGTACTAATGACCTTGACTACCAATAAGAGTCTCAGGCAGTTGATAAGTGATACATCTCCAGGTAGACTAAATAGAGACTTGAATTTAGTTTTTACAAGAAGAAACATCCTGTAGTGTTTTTACTGTCATAATCTAAAAAATGAAATGACTTTTTTATTTCCAGTTTATTTGCTTTTTGATTTCAAAGGCTTCTGTCGCTTTAGTGATAGGGCTAAATATCAGTAAATTCAGGAAATTCTTCTTTTACTTAATATCTTGTCAACAAAAAGGGAATGTAATTCAGACTTTTGCTGCTATCTAATGGAAAAAATTGTATTAACTTATTTCATATATCTTGTTCTGGTATGAGCAATCATAAATAAAATGCACACAAAATAATATTATCTGAAAATTGAGTCAATTAGATAGGATTTCTTTATATAAAATCTGTTGTTGAGTTGTTAGCTCTACCGCCATAAAGTTCATTTAATTGTATCATTATGCCAAAGAAAATGTATATGCATACAAAGAATTGTATATTTGAAGCTACTTAAATTAAGAAATGAACATTTCAGTTGAAATATATAATAATTATTGAGTTCCATGTTTTTCAGAGGTAGCACATGGGTCACTGTTGGAGGGAGAAAATGTTCCTGTCACATTTGATGGCATATTCCAGTAAGTAGTAGGAATTATACTTATACTAAACACTTTGTCTCTCCTCATTAAATGCTCTGTTTCTCCTATCAAATGATCTGTCTCTCATCAAACATGCTGTCTTCCTCATCTTAGTGTGTTTGCAAAAATGAAAGTTAATTGAATTTATTTGTTCATGATAACTTCTTGTATAAACAAACTGCAGTTGTTCCCCTTTTCATCTATATCTATAAATTGTTGGGAATGTAATTATGTGAAACATAGGTAGATGTTACTATTTTAAGACTTTTATTTCATTTGTTAGTCAAATTTCCCATTGCTACCACAGGAAAAAAAATGTAAGTGGTATCTACATTTTTGTACTCGCTATCAGTAAAAGTGAGTAAACAAATGTCTAGATAGTCTATTGAGATTAAAGTTGTCCAACATTTTTCTGATTTAAAAAAAGGCCCTACCTGTGTAAATAATGTAGGGTAAATAAACTCATTTTTAAGAATGACCATATATTTTATTATTTTAACCACAAAACTGAAAATTTTAAAGCTAATTACTATAACTACTGATTTGCTATGGTTACCGGTATAATGTTTTGATCTGTAGACATGAATTGATTTCTTTTTATTGCAGTGCTGAAGAATTTGATAATTTTCTGATGCATCTGTTGATTTACTTCCACTGCTTTATTGATAAGCTTGAGAGAGAAGAAAAGATTAATAACATAGCTGGATATATGTAAGTCGTTACTATACGAAGGTTTGTCTTATTATCATGCAGGTTAAATAATGATTTATAACTCTTAATCACAAACGTTACCACATTGATGGCTTTATGTTAAAAATGAATAGGACAGCTCTTTAAATCACTAACTTTTCCAAGGTATGTCTTATTACAATGTACGTTAAGGTTTTCAAATAGTAATTATAGGGGAGTTAACTCTTAATCACTAATTTTACTAAGGTCTCATCACAACATAGCTCAAACTGTGTTAGATGTGACTAGGGAAAGAGATCACTCTTAATCACTGTCTAGGAGAGGCATCACACAGATCAGTCAATCGATTTTAAACCTTCAAATTACATTTACCTAAAATTTCTAAATATACCAACATATTGCCAGCTGTCTGTTAAACATCAATCCAAGTATCAACCATTCCATATTTTCCAGAGAACCAAGTATAAAGGAAAGAGAAGAATTTGAAGCTGCATGTGAGAAGCTTAACATTGCTCAGAAAATGCTTGGTCAGTCACATGGAATAATGGTGCTAGGATTAGGGATGGAATCTGAACATCACATGTCATGTGGAAAGTAGGTTCACACTTTGCAAACAATGGAAAAATTTGACTTCAGTTTGTAAATTTAATTTCTTTGGAAAATTCTACAGGTTTTAAGATAACTCATACTCTAGAACATTTCATTAATCTAGATAAATTAATAACAAAATAATATAGAGCACTATTCTCAGCTAAAAAAAATATTTTTAGAGGAAGTATATTTTATGATTATCAGAATGCTGTAAAAAAAATGGTTTTCATTTCTGAAATTTGCTTATTTTTGCTAAAACCCAAAAAAGATCCTTATGATATCAATTTTCAAACATCTACAGAAAGCTATTCTGAAGTTAATAAAATTGTGATTAATATTAATCTGTTTTGTTCATATTTAATTTGAAGGGCAACAAATGTCTAGTGTTCTCATGAGTTTTCCAGTTTTTATGCATACATGAATTTTTTTTCAGATCAAGGGTGTCAGCTACTTTACGGGATAGACATGTTTTTGAGGTAATAGTTTAACTTAAATACTGGTTATGTTAACATATTCTGCCTTTAAAATCTATATTAAGTCCTTTTTTCACCAAAATGGTGTATATTTCTGCTGCTTCCAAAATTTTTTTTAAGAACCATTTCTGTGTTTTGTTTTTCAAGAAGCAGTTGTCCCTGTTGCATACCAGTGTTTTAAAAAATGTAAGCAATGAGTTTGTTCAAATTTCATTTAAACATTAACACAGACTTTTTTCAAAATGTTGATTACTTTGAAAAAAGTGCAATACTGTATACCAACTCATTTTTATGCCCCCACCATAGACAATGGGGGCAATAAGTGTTACCCTTGACTGTCCATCCTTCCGTCTTTCCGTCCTTCCGTCTTTCCTTCATTCTGTCTTTCTGTCCTTCCATCTTTCTGTCATTCTGTCTTTCCATCCTTCCATCTTTCTGTACGTCCCATTTCGTCCTCAGACACATTCTTCTATTTTTTACAGATACAGATACATTATCACAATTTGCCCTTTCTAGCTGACTTCACAGCAAGTTACATTTATAAATGCTAACTTTGTTGATGTAGTCGTATGATATAAGATCCAAGTTTAACATATTTGTAATGATTAATATTTGTATTATTTTTCTATTTGCAAAAGTCATGTAAATAAATTGCTCATGAAAATTAGATGGTTCACAGAATTTGGTAGCAATATTTTGAAGTATTAAGTGATCACCAAATTTATAGTTGCAATACGCATTTTCCATGCGGTCAATGTTTTCACTAAGTTTTAAGGGATGAAAAAAGTTCAAAGAAAAGCTAATTGACGATATATGAAGATCTTTTTGTCATTAGCTTTATTTGGATTTTATCACATTGACAAAATCTTGAATGACTTTTTTAAATGTAAATTATAAAATCAGGTTAATTTTTTGTTGATACTGAAGGACTAGTGAAAAGTTGTAATACACCTGCAAAAATTAAGAATTATTCAACACACAAATAAATGATCCATCCTACAGAGGATGTTTCTTTTATTCTTATGTTTTACTTATGTAACAAAGATAGAGTATTACTTGTATTGATATAAAATAGACTATATGATATATGTTTAATTTTTTAGGTTTTATATAAATTTTGCCTTTTTGTTGTCTATATCACATTCAAACGAAAACTACCTCAAGACGTGATTAGAAAGGAAATTGGAAGGTAAATTTATTATAATTGCGTATTCAATTTCTGTCACATTATTTTCTAAATAATATATATTTGAATTTGTATTTGTATTCTAAGTTTTCTCCTCCATACTGGTAATTATTCTTAGTTTTATTATGACTCTCCTGGATTATATGAGAAAACTTTGTTTTTCGTCCTTTTGTCTGGTTATGTCAAAAGAGAATTAGTGCAACATCTTTTACAGTTTACAAAGGGATGGAACAACATCTGACAGAATTATTTCATTCACTGTGTAGCTGTGCATCTCCTACTTGCTTGTTCATCAGATAAATATAAAGGGGTTTCCCATAAACAAACTTTCTGTAGTTCACATTTAAATGAAACATTCAATTAGTTACTGTCTTAAGTAGGAAGAAAGCAGGATATATATATTTTTTTTTAAATATACTATTTTCAACTAAGTTAAAATTAAAAAAATGCTGTTATAACAACCAAATCATTATCTTCCACAAAATATTCATAATAGATATATTATTCCTGAGGATCTTAATTTTGTGTTTCAGCATCATTTGAATTCTAATGATTTTATAGATCAGATGTATACGTTAGAGATATTGACTATTTTTTGCATTCAAGGATAACAAAAATTCTCTTTGAAAGCCTTGCCGGTTTCATACATAAACCATGTAAGTAAAATCTTTTGAAGTTTGATAGTATATAAAGAGATTAGTGTCTATTTTTTTAAAAATATTTGTCTTTTTATTTCTTGCAGAATGTTGCGGTCAGATACATTTAATCCAGCTATTAGAGTTAAACAGACACCAGATCGTAAGTTTTTGCTATGATATTGTGCTTCAGTTTTTCATTTTGTAGCTAAATTGTCTTGGAAAAAATCTTATAAAATATGTGAGTTTTCTTAGATAAGTTTTTTTTAAATAGCACTGTCTTGATTAAGCTCTTGTTAAGGTTTTTTATTTGACCTAATTAAATTTATGTACATTTTCATGAGGTGATTGATTGATTGTTGGTATTTAACACCACTTGGCTATATAGTGGCTGTCATTATTTATTGGTGGAGGAATAGGGAGTACCTAGAGAAAACCACCAACCTTGGGTAGGAAAACTGGATATCCTAGACAATTAATATATCATTGCATTGATATTAATTGACTTAAGTTTTGGACAACTTAGTTATACAAAGATTTAATCCAGATTTTATTTTGAATACTGTATAGCAGGTTTTTTTTCGCAGGGTGTTAATTTTCTCTTATTTTGGAGGTTAAATGAAAATCGCGAAAAAAAATCTTTGAAAATTTATGCAGACATTCGGTACTTTCTAATAGCTAAAGCGTTTTGTAAACGATCTTTTTTTCCGGTCGGCAGGTCAATAATGGCATTATACATTTATAAAGTGACTGTCAGTTGTGTTTACCCTTAAAAATTAGTGTCAAATAAAATAAGAGTTGTAAGTCACTCTTGATAATTGTATAACCATAAAAGAAGTACATCAAAGGTCCAGTCAATTTCGTAACTAAACAACCGTAAAATTTACAAGAAGTTTGTATACCTGTGACAAATATCTAATTAACCGATATTCTATTGATTAACTGAATTAAAATATGATTCATAAATAAGACATTCAGGTTAAAAAAAATATCAATTAATAATAACAATAGACACTTGTTTGTCAAGTTTTACAATATTTTAACTGCAATAATTTCAGTAATCCGCAAAAATATTTAATTGGGATTTAAGAATCCACCAAAATAAAAAACCGTAAAAATTTTTAGTATACTTTGTTGCCCCTTAATCGCGAAATTTTACATCCACGAAATTAACCCACTATACGGTAATAGTTGAATTTTGGTATTTTTTATGGATTAGTTAGGTTGTGTTTTAATTTACATACTTCTATAATAATAACAATTTGGTTTTTTTTTCAGCGAAAGACCAGAGGTCAAGCATGTTAATAAGTAAGTGATATAAGAATTTTGTATTTTCTGTTTACAGTAGGACTTTTTTTTCCATTTTATTACTAGTTTTCTATATATTGGTTAAATTGAATATCTGATCCTGCTGATTGGTTATACCAATAAAGGTAATAAGCTTTGCATGGCCGACACCATGATGCAAATGATGAACAGTTAGTAAACAACAAAATGAAAGTAACCTACAAAGTGTGATAGTGCTTTCAATATATGCAATTGATAAATGATATTTTTGTCAACACAGGCTTCCATTCACCAATCAAGGATGGGGTTACATTTGAATATTACACTTACATCTTGTAAAACAAAGTAAAAGTATGCATGTGCCTTACTTAAAATATGTCAATTTTAAAATTATTTAAAAATAATTATTATAGAAATCAGTTATCATAATTTCAGTTCCCAAATTTTCCTGCCACTTTCAATCTGCAATTGAAGCGCCTTCTGAAATCAGATAACAACAGGGGAAGGAACTAACTTTGTATTAAACATTTCTCCAATATAAAGTCAAAGAGTTATGCCTCTTTATATAGTACTGCCACGTTTGCCAAAAAATCATTTTTGATAAAAATTAGCAAGTAAAGGAGTAAGGATAAATATCATACCTTTAAGCTTCATATATTTTCTTACTTTTTAAGAGAAAGCTTTGAAGGAATTTAGAGAAATAGAGGTACCACTTAAAGAAAGGAAAGGAATCTCAGATTTACAAGAAGTGTTCAAATTCAATGCTGCTGAATACAGACGGAATCATCCGTGAGTAATCGGTTATTTTGGAACATAAATTCCATGTCTTTCAACTTTTCATTTTAGTTTGACCATATTCTTATATATATATATATATGGATACAGATAATTTTACTTCAACAATTTTTCATAACTAGATGCTATAGATTTTTAGATTCACATGAACATTTACCATATGGTCATTTGCAAAAGTAGGCTTACAAACTAAGAACTTATACATCTTTTGAGAACAAAGTGCCCATAACTGACTTGATCTTTTGGACCTGATATCAGAATTGGGCAGTGTACCTGTGAAATGTTATGATACGGGTGCCTTATTGTTTCAATGTGCAGTCAATGTGATGTTCAATTCCAGAAATTGATTAGATTTTTCATATGTTCATACGCTATTAGCCTCTAAAGATTAATTTTACTGGGTAAAATAGAATTATTGCCCGAATGCCAACTTGGACTTTTAATAATACTTAATTTACTGGTTTGTAGGTTAATGGAGTTCACACATAGACAATGTTCCTGTGGATATAAATGATAGTTTTAAATCCCACTTATTTATATTAAAGTTATAGTAATTCAGGTAGTATAACATACAGTAGAGAATAATTAATAGTAATAGAATACAATAGTATAAAATTTTACTGATCTTCTTTTTTACATTTTTCAGGAGACGGCCGGCAATAAAGTCAATTATTCAGTAAGTATTGAGATCAACAACAGAAATCTAATATCACTTGCTGCCTTTGAACCTATTTAATATAAAAGACATATAACCAGACATGGTCCTTACAATTTCTTTTAAACTTTTAGGTATAAATTGGCATATATCAGACAAAATAATAAGTTCAAAATGATTTAATGTGTACAAAAGCCAAAACTAATATGTTCTATCGTATCCTCATTACGGTGACCTATAGTTGTTAACTTGTATGTCATTTGGTCTCTGGTGGAGAGTTGTCTCATTGGCAATCATATCACATCTTCTTATGTTTATAGTAGAACTCTGAATTTCAGATTATCAGTAGTTACAATACCATGAGTTTAAAAAAGAAAAACCCATAATTTTAGTCCCTGTAGTGAAAACTATGTATTGTTGACCTCTTAGTATCTAGATCATGACTATTAACAAGAATCAATTTTTGAGTTTGATGTCATTAACTGCCAGATAAAAGCAGACGTGATTTAACACATCATTGAAGGTTATAGAAATCAATACCGGTTACCATTTTTAGAAATAATTGTTTTAGTAAATTATTTTTTTGCAGTCAAAGATCTCCAGCTTTAGTTGCAGTTTTACCATCTGCAAGTGAAAATTCTGAGTGGCTGTTTAGACGATCAAGACCATTATCTCCCAAGTAAGTAATTATATAAAATATTCCAAGAGCTGAAACAAAATAAAGCTTATTGGGGGTCTTCTAATACACAAATATTTAAAAAAATTTTGTGGTCTGATAATTTAGAAAATTTAAGTATAAATGGGATAAAATCTAATAAATAAAGTTGTTTCCTGAAGTAAGAAAAAGTGCCTTCAAATACTGTTGTTGAAAACAATTTTTTTTGAAAAGCCATATTATCTTGGTGACCAAATGTTTATTTCATTTAGGAATGACTTTAATATTTTTTCTGTCTATGAAGAAATTACATCAAAAATGTGGTGCACACTGAATAACCTGCGTTACGCGGGTTATTTAAAAGTGTGCACCACATTTTTTTAGGTTATTTCGAATAGACAGAAAAGATTTTACAGTCATTCCTTATAATATTTAATTCTTAATTCCATTTTTAAGTAGTAAATTTTGAAAAAAATGTTGGTAACATCACGGTCACATGACAAAATTATGTCTATGAGCTGATATACAAAACACTTTCAGCCAATCAGAAGACGTGTTACATCCAAAATTAAATTATTACCATTTAGATAGAATTTATGTAGAAATAACAAGCCATTGTTTGTTGAAAACATTTGAAGTGCATCCATGTCATGTGACTTTTTTTTAATGCAGTCTGAAGTGTTTTAGGATTCTGTCATATATGTCATGTATCTTCATAATATAATGTTTTATTGAATATATTCAGTCATATTTCATTATTACAATGTTTTAATAAATATTCATTATTTCAGTTCCTTATCAAAAATAGGAAGAGAGGAAGGTGAAGAGGAAATGGACTCAGAAGACAATACTCTTGATCAAATCATTGAAAAGAAGACTTTTAAGTTAGTATCACACTTACTTTGTCTGATATATATAGTTATGATTGATAATAACAATGAAAGCAGTAAATTTAAGGAAGACAAAGGTGTTACATTTGTTTACAATTTATATGGAAAAAAATTATTTGGGGTTAGAAACTTCTATTTTAAATACATACAGATTTAAAAACATTGAGACAGACTTGTGAAATTCTGTATGTCCATCAACACATATAAGCATTTTACAGGAAATGGATGGAATGGAGTACTAAGTTAGAAATTTTTATAAAATAAAACATAGTATGAAGAAGATTAGTGGTATGATTGAGAATTGAGGAATTATGTAGAATGGTTATTCCCTTTTTGTAGTTTTTGTCTTGCCTGCGATGAAAGTACCGGAAAATGAGACATAGGGATTGCTTTGATGGCAACGGCGTCAACAATTGTTAAGTTTTCTGCTTAAGTTAGTTTGATAGGAACTACTTGTGATAGATCAATGATATTTTGTATGAAGTTGCATTACTATCAGTTTGACGACTATTTTGAGGCCCTGCTCCCTAGGCCATGGTCTAGTGATTGAATTAATTAGCAATTTTAAATGTTAAGTTTTCTGCTTAAGTTAGATTGATAGTCCTTGAACTACTGATGATAGATCAATGATATTTTGTGTGAAGTTGCAGTGCTATCAGTACATATCAGTTTTATTGAGAGGGCTTACATAGGCTTTGCCTGTTGCCCATTCCAATTAAATTTATTTGAATAAAATACTGTTTAAACTATCGGTTTGATGACTTGTTTGAGGCCCTGCCTCCTAGGCCATGGTTCAGTGAATTTCAATTAATTAGCAATTTTCAATGATAAGTTTTCTGCTTATGTTAGTTTGATATGAACTACTTGCGATAGATCAATGATATTTTCTATAAAGTTGCTTAACTATCAGTAGTTTGACGACTATTTCAAGGCCCTGCCCCCTAGGTCATGGTCCAGTGACTTTCAATCAATTAACATTTTTCAATGTTAAGTTTTCTGATTAAGTTAGTTTGATAGGAACTACTTACAATAGACAATATTTTCTATAAAGTTACGTTGCTGTCTGTACATCTCAGTTTGTCAACCATTTCGAGCCCCTATCCACTAGTTGGTCCAGCGATTTTGAATTGATTAGCAATGTTGCTGTCCATCAGATTGTCTTTTTCTGAATTTTATGCCAACAGGCAAGACATATCTCTGTGTCAACAGTTTATTTTAAAATAAGATATAAGATCAAAGCATTGTTATTTCTCTTGATTTATTTCTTTTTAAGGACATTAATTATTGTCTCAATCCTATTTATTTGGTAAAATAAAGTCTGCTTTTTATTTATAAGAATAATGAATGAATATTGAAAGATAAATATGTATTTTTTTTTTATCAAAATGTGTTTATCAATTTTACAAAATATGGGAAAGTATATTGAATGAAGATATTTACTGTTACAGAGTGGGTATCATAGGAGATCCAAAGAATTTATACAGTGCAGATAAACTGATGCCTGTTGGTGGAGAAAATGAAGATGAAGAAAATGAGGAGGACGGTTCAAAAAGGTTTTTATTGGCAATTTATGTAATGGTTGCACACTGCATTATACCAAGGAATTTGACTCCATTTTAATCAACTAAAAATTTACCTTTAACATATTAGAAAATCAAAATGCAATCTCCATATCAGCCCTGAACAATATTGAAAAGGATGTGTTATGTTCTGTTTATAAACCATTAAAAAAAACCAATAATAACACCATTATTTCCTAGAAACCATAGACAAGTTCTAAACTTTACTAAAGTCACTTAATTGTCAACTGAATGATTTCATTGTTGCGGCATCAATGGAAAAAAATATTGAGTGTTTTAAATGATGATACAAGTCGTTTATTATTTTTCTTTTTAGAACACAACCAGAAACTAAAGAAGCAGAGCCATCACCTCCACCAGGTTTGTATATTTTCTGGAACTATTATGTTCAGAGTTCTCTTAAAACTATTACGAATTATAGAGGAGCTCTGCTGGAATGTGTAGTTTAAGCCCTTTTTACTGTTTTTAGCTCACCTGGCCCGAAGGGCCAAGTGAGCTTTTCTCATCACTTGGCGTCCGTCGTCCGGCGTCGTCCGTCGTCGGCGTTAACTTTTTACATTTTGAACTTCTTCTAGAGAACCACTGAATGGAATGAAACCAAACATGGCATGCATGTTCCTTATGAGGTGCTGACCAAATGTTGTTACTTTGTAGCCGATCCATCATCCAAGATGGCCGCCAGCGGGGGACTTAGTTTAACATAGGACCCTATGGGAAATGCATACAAATGACTTCTTTTAGAGAACCACTGTATGGAATGAAACCAAACATGGCATGAATGTTCCTTATGAGGTGCTGACCATGTGTTGTTACTTTGTAGCCGATCCATCATCCAAGATGGCCGCCATTGAGGAACTTAGTTTAACATAGGACCCTATGGGAAATACATACAAATGTCTTCTTTTAGAGAACCACTGAATGGAATGAAACAAACATGGCATGAATGTTCCTTATGAGGTGCTGACCAAGTGTTGTTTCTTTGCAGCCGATCCATCATCCAAGATGGCCGCCAGCGGGGGACTTAGTTTAACATAGGACCCTATGGGAAATACATAAAAATGTCTTCTTTTAGAGAACCACTGAATGGAATGGAACCAAACATGGCATGAATGTTCCTTATGAGATGCTGACCAAGTGTTGTTACTTTGCAGGCGGTCCATCATCCAGGATGGCCGCCAGCGGGGGACTTAGTTTAACATAGGACCCTATGGGAAATACATACAAATGTCTTCTTTTAGAGAACTAGTGAATGGAATGAAACCAAACATGGCATGAATGTTCCTTATGAGGTTCTGACCAAGTGTTGTTACTTTGTAGCCTATCCATCATCCAAGATGGCCGCCAGCGGGGGACTTAGTTTAACATAGGACCCTACGGGAAATACATACAAATGTCTTCATTTAGAGAACCACTGAATGGAATGAAACCAAACATGGCATGAATGTTCCTTATGAGATGCTGACCAAGTGTTGTTACTTTGTAGCCGATCCATCATCCAAGATGGCCTCCAGCGGGGGACTTAGTTAAACATAGGACCGTATGGGAAATACATAAAAATGACTTCTTTTAGAGAACGAATAAATGGAATGGAACCAAACATTGCATGAATGTTCCTTATGAGATGTTGACCAAGTGTTGTTACTTTGCAGTCGGTCCATCATCCAAGATGGCCGCCAGCGGGGGACTTAGTTTAACATAGGACCCTATAGGAAATACATACAAATGTCTTCTTTTAGAGAACCACTGAATGGAATGAAACAAAACATGGCATGATTGTTCCTTATAAGGTGCTGACCAAGTGTTGTAACTTTGCAGTCGGTCCATCATCCAGGATGGCCGACAGCGGGGGACTTAGTTTAACATTGGACCCTATGGGAAATACATACAAATGTCTTCTTTTAGAGAACCAGTGAATGGAATGAAACCAAACATGGCATGAATGTTCCTTATAAGGTGCTGACCAAGTGTTGTTACTTTGCAGCCGATCCATCATCCAAGATGGCTGCCAGTGGGGGACTTAGTTTAACATAGGGCCCTACGGGAAAAACATACAAAATGTCTTCTTTTAGAGAACCTCTGAATGGAATGGAACCAAACATGGCATGAATGTTCCTTATGAGGTGTTGACCAAGTGTTGTTTCTTTGCAGCCGATCCATCATCCAAGATGGCCGCCAGCGGGGGACTTAGTTTAACATTGGACCCTATGGGAAATACATACAAATGTCTTCTTTTAGAGAACCACTGAATAGAATGAAACCAAACATGGCATGAATGTTCCTAATGAGGTGCTGACAAAGTGTTGTTACTTTGCAGTCAGTCCATCATCCAAGATGGCTGACAGCGGGGGACTTAGTTTAACATAGGACCCTTTGGGAAATACATACAAATGTCTTCTTTTAGAGAACCACTGAATGGAATGAAACCAAACATGGCATGAATGTTCCTAATGAGGTGCTGACCAAGTGTTGTTACTTTGCAGTCAGTCCATCATCCAAGATGGCTGACAGCGGGGGACTTAGTTTAACATAGGACCCTATGGGAAATACATACAATTGTCTTCTTTTAGAGAACCAGTGAATGGAATGGAACCAAACATGGCATGAATGTTCCTTATGAGGTGCTGACCAAGTGTTGTTACTTTGCAGTCGATCCATCGTCCAAGATGGCCGCTAGGGGGGTGGGGGGGGGGGGGGGCTTAGTTTAACATAGGACCCTATGGGAAATACATACAAATGTCTTCTTTTAGAGTACCACTGAATAGAATGAAACCAAACATGGCATGAATATTCCTTATGAAGTGCTGACCAAGTGTGGCTACTTTAATGCCGATTTACTGTTCAAGATGGCCACCAGGATATTTTATTAAATAACGGGACCAATATTAATCCAAATTTGGCCTCAATCATTATTTGGGTATCTGTTATGATTTTTATCTATCTTTACATGATTTCTAAAACCAAAGTAGAGTCAGGTGAACGACACAGGCTCTTGAGAGCCTCTAGTTTTTTTTTTATTTTGATATGATTTTTTCTATTAAGTTTAATGGTGCATCAAAGGTCCCTAAAAAAAGCATACAGTTATGCTGTCAAAAATTGTATAACAATAAAATCCACATTTAAAAAAATCTCAATTTCAGTCCTCTGGCATTTTCAAATTCATATTTTATTTTTTTACAATTTTTTAATGCAGAAAGTAGTTGCCATTGAAATGCAGATATTGAATCAGAAAGTATGAAGTGGTATTTTGGATTTAATTCTAGTTTTTAACCTCGAGCGTTAATTTAATTGAGTCCCATGCCAAAGTTACTTATACACAAAGAAAGATACCTACATAAATACTCTTTGATTTTTTTCAGTATTGATTTTGAAAGGGCTATTTTAGAACCTTTCTACTTTTAGAAACCACTTATTAACATATTGTTATTAGTATGTGATACATCAATTCAAAATTGAGTTATTAATAGCAATGGGATAGTATTCTTTGCCTGCACAGGCATTATGGAAAAATGGTAAAAAAAAGTATATCTGTTAAATATCATGCAGACTGTAAAAAGATTAAAAAGGTAGTTATGAATGAATTTTTTAAAAACCTTTAAACCAGAAAATTATATAATTCAAGTCAATGAACGGAAATTAGTCTTAAGAATTTGTATTGTAGAGATGATTTTCATAGTAAGAATAAATTCAAACTTAACAAATAATTTTTATTTCAGAAAGTTTATAAGGCATTCAGTAAGGTTTGAAAATCTGCATGGGTCAAAAGCACTCATTTTAGTGTGTCTCAAAAATATATGAATCTGCATGTTTCATAGATGGTCGGCACCTATTCAGAAAATGATGTGTGTTTATATTTTTTTTAGCTGACGTGACATTTCCACTTGCACCATGAAGCACACTGAAAAATGTTTGATGCTTATGATTTGTTAGTGCTGCATATTAATGTTGCAATGCATAATTTGCATGCCATTGATTTATGACACGAAAAGAATAAGACTTTTAAAAAATATCAAAATGAAATCAAAAGAAAGAAATTTAAAAGAGAAACCACCAAACAATACAGAGTGATTAAGGGCTTGGCATATTGGATAGACACCTATCTATTGTTTACCTCTAGATGTCTTTGGATTATTTATGTCTTTGAATCATTGTCTCATTAGCATATAAAACTCACAAAAGTTATATCCTTTTATTTAAAATAAAAAAAAATTTAAATAAATTTTATAACCAATACCAATACTTATGTATAAGTTATCATCTCCAAAATAATCATACCAGATAAACAATTTTTGGTTAATTTTAACATTATCAATTATTGCAATTAAAAAAAGGTATAAGGTACAATATGTTCAGAACAAATGTACTTATTATTTGTAGTATAAGGTTCCATATATATATATTGTGCTTCATAGGGCGTGTAGTAGCTCGGAAACAAACACTAAGTAGAATATCACACAGGCCAGGCCAATGTAAGTGAACGGCAAGTATGGAACAACAAACTAATAGTTCAAGTTATCTCGAGAATACACTAATTTTGAAATTATTCCAAAAGTAGCTGAACTGACTATTTGAATATTAACTATAATAATTTTAATTTAAAACATAAATGTACTTGCTTTTTAACATTGCATAGAAATTGTAATACTAATTCATATGCAATCAGATGTTGATTGGCATTTCATTTTTCTCCCACAAACAACCAAAGGAGACCATGATTGTTGAAGGCTGTATGTATCCTATGGTTGCTTACATCCACATCTTTGGACATTGGTGGGTAGTTGTTTCATTTACAGTCATAACACATCTTCTTATTTTGATATTATACACCCTGACAAATAAAATTTGGGGGTTTAGACCAAGCTTGACCATGTCTGCAACTCAAAATACAGTCATGCATTTCAGGCACTACTTAAAACTGTGCACGATGTTAAACCAATATGTGGAGATTAAAACATGTGGTAAAGAATCTGGATTAGGGTTTTTTGCTGTTTTTTCCCCTCTTGGATCTCCAGATTTAGTTATTGGATATTGGTAAAACTAGTGTCATTGTAAGATTAAAAATCAAGATTTGCATGGACAGGATATTCTATTCTATACCAGCTGCATTGAGATTTTTTACAGAAGCAGGTGTATAAGTCCTTGGTAATGGACTGTTATGTTGTTAAGTTTTTATTGTCGAGCCTGCGACTTTTGTCGCAAAAGCGAGACATAGGGATCCTACATTCCGTAGGCGGCTGGGTCCACAAATGTTCACTCTGTGGTTAAGGTTTTTAAAATTTTAATAACTTTCTTAAAATATCCTGGATTTCTACCAAACTTGTACAGAAGCTTGTTTATGATCATAAGATAGTATCCAGAAGTAAATTTTGTAAAAAAAAAATCCTGTTTTTCTGTATTTTACTTATAAATGGACTTAGTTTTTTTTGCCAGTTAACATTACATTCACTCTGTGGTTAAAGTTTTAAAAATTTTAATAACTTTCTTAAACTATCCTGGATTTGTACCAAACTTGGACAGAAGCTTGTTTATGATCAAAAGCTAGTATCTAGAAGGACATTTTGTAAAAATTTATTTCCTGTTTTCCGTATATTACTTATTAATGGACTAAGTTTTTCTTCCAGTTAACATTACATACAGTCTGCAGTTAAAGTTTTTAAAACATTTATTAGATTAATAAACCATCCTGGATTTTTACCAAACTTGGACAGAAGCTTCTTACAATCAAAAGATAGTATTTAGAGGAAAATTTTTAATAATTTTTTCCCCATTTTTGTTGAGCCTGTGACTTTTGTCTTCCAGACAATCTATAGATTTGATTGCATACTGTATTCATTTTTTACAAGCATAACTTTTTTCATACATTTCAAACATTTTATTTCATTGACTGTAAATCTATTATGTGCATTCCCCTATCACACTGAAAACATAGACAACAGCAAAAGTACGCGGAACCCATACGAATTTTTAAAATATTTTATAGCTCTTATACCCTAAGTAAGATAGTAGAATATAAAATACTGTGGATTCCTTATAATAATTCTTTGGGTATAGAAAAACATCAAATTTAAATAGTCAGTGAAGTACAACATTTCTTTAGGCTTGCATGCAGACTTTGACAAAACCACGAAATAAAATATCCACGAAAATATTTTTTCTCAATTCACGTCAAATAAATGAATCCACAGTAGCTTGGATTTTTTGTATCGATTATAAACACTACTTTTAAGGCATGTACCTCTAAAAAAAACTTTATCTTTTTTCATCTTAAGTTCTTGGTATGTATTTTTTTTTACAAAATAACAATTATTTCTTAGTAAGGTAACTAATTTGAAATTAATTTGATATAAGACAATATACATAACTCAAGCATGCATAATTTTCTCTTCTAAAATAATTTATTTCATACTTACACAGCACTAAATAAACAGTTTAACTAAAAAAAAAATTTTGTTATACTTAAGTATTCATGCTTTATTTCACATTTGTTCAAAGAAAAGAAAATTCTTTATTTTTTCAGATGCATGGTACTACTTTTACCAAAATCTGAACTGTTATCATGGAAATTTATTTTGAATTGTGTGTAAAAAGTTGTAGTAACATTTTTGATTATATATGATGGTTTCATTGCCAATATACTTGTTGGCTATTGATGGACACAATCATCAAGTCATACTTTTTTTAAATCAGTATTTCTTATGTCAAATATCAATGAGAAATGCTTTGATTATCCTATATTATTTTGAAAAAAATCTGAATTTGCTATAAAATATTGTTGTAACAACTTCACATTGCTAAGTGGTTTTATTGTTGTTGTTTTTTAAACATTTGGAATGGTTTTCATTTGTTTTGATTCATAACAACGTAAAATGCTGTATGAATTTTACCACAGCGTTTCTTACATTTTATGGCACATATACTATATTCTAAAGTATTTTATTATCTCTAAGTTACGTAAGTATTACCATAAAGTTTTGAAAAGTATATTTTTTGTCTACATTTCCCTACATTCATGCTGGTTTATTAGAATAAGAACACACATTTTTGAATGTTATACATTTCTTTTTTTTTTATAGATCAGAGGGTCAGTAGACAACAGACAGCCATATCTACTGCCACAGCTGATGCTGAAGATTTTTAACCAACCACAAGTCTTATTGCACAGTTCTTCCTGCCAATCAGGATAATTAATTCACAGTTGATATTTGAATTGGGAGACTTAGCAAATGGCCCTTAAGCTAATCAATTGACATATTCCATTTATGTTTTTTTGAAGTGTAAAGTAATTTCTTTTTCATTTTTTGTCAATATAATATCACAAAAATATTGATTACCTAAGAATTATACAAAAAAAAGTTGATATGGAAGGAAAAGTTAAAGTTATAATAATATATGTTCGAGGTACTTGCTTTACAATGCAGTCATCGACTAAAGAGCAATGTTTTTAGAATTTTAGAAACTTTTTTTTTTCACCATTAATATAGGGGTATAGCAGTATTACTTGATTCCTTTTTAAACAAACATTTATATTGTTTCAAACAAAGCGTAGTTTAAATGTTTTCTAAAAATAAAAAAACAATTATAGGATAGAACAAATAATTGTAGCCAACAGAAATATATTTTATTGTAAGTTTTTAACAAGCATCTGTGATATAACTTTTCTCGTGTTTTGGACAAGAAAGGGTTTCATTGTATAGAACGATTTTGAAATATATACACAAATCCCGTGATATACCATGACAGGGTTTGTGATAGAATGAGAGAGAACGGTATTTTACATATTTTTATTCATTGTGATATTGTTTATAGTTTACCATCCATTATTATGTTCTATGTATGTATGTTTCTGTTATTTGTAATGATTTTTTTTTAAAGAAATTACAAAAGAAGTGTTAATGTGTTGATTTTGTTGACCTATGCATTATTGTCCCAATTTCCAAAGTCAGTGCCGATCAAAACTATGCCACTTGGAAATATTGATTATATAGAAAATTGAATTGTAAGTGCTCTCAAGCATATATTTCTTGTTGGATTGTTATGAAATTTATATCGAAGGTTTTTATCAGCAGTGTCTGAGACAAATTCGAAAATAAGTGCTGATGGATTATTTTTCCAGGAGTTATGTTCCTTAGAAATGGAAATTGTTTAGAAAATTGCATTGTAAGTGTTCTCAAGTGTACAATTCTTACCAGATATTTCTGAAAACTAATATTAAAGGTTTATAATAGTAATTTCTGGGACAAGTTCGAAAATCCGTGTTGATCCACCATTTTGAATAGAGTTATGCCCCTTGGAAATAAAATTATATAGAAAATTGTATTGTAAGCAGTCTCACACTTACATTATTTGTAGGATTGTTATGAAATTTATATCAAAGTGTTCTTTCGGAAATGGCTTGAGAAGTTTGGAAATAAATGCTGATCTATTATTTGGAGTTATGTCTCTTCAAATGTTTAATTTGAACATTTAACATTGTGTTGTAAACACTCCTACAACCAAATTTCTTGGGAAATTTTTGTGAAGTTTATATCAAAGGCTTTTGTCAGAAAAGTCTTGGAAGATTGTTGACCAATTTATTTTTACAGGAGTTATGCCTGTAGGAAATAGAAGTAAGCGGAAAATATAACATTGTTTGAGATCTTATCCCTAAATTTCTTATAAGATATTTACTGGGACTATTATACTAACGAAAACCTAATGCAGGGCTCAAATAAATTATACTGTTCCTATAAAATTGCTTACTCCTATTTATATGTGCAATATTTGTATTAAAATCGGGGTGTTTTTTGCTTAGTAATGGTCTTCAGGTGGCATAAGCATATGACTTCGTGAAAATATGTACAATAGGTTCCACAATCAGAACTACAAAAGTAAAAATCGTAATTCACAAAGTTAAGTGTGTGGCTGCTGTTTTTTGTTTCTTTTGTTATTCAGTTTCTGCTTGAAGGAAAAACGTATTATACCTGTCAATTATGTTTTTTTTTCAAATTAAGTTAAGAAGGGGTTGATTATCATTGATATAGCTATGTGAATTCAGTTTTTATTTTTATAACACATTTCAATTACAAATTGATGTAATTCCTAACTGGGATAGAAAGGATATACTCATGGTAGACTCAGGAAAACTGTTCATAAGACCTCATTGCTACATTTTTGTGCTGTTTTAATATGTATACCAGGTGGTTAATGTCGGATCTGCCTGTTCTGGTCTTGTATTTTGTTTAGACTTTGGTGTAATTTTTTTTTTACTTTGAAATTTATTCACAGCTACTTTAAGTACCGCTTAAGTCGACGCTAGGGACCGTCTTGACATTGTTGTAAGGTATGAATGATTCGTTCATTGTTGAAGACCCTCCAGCGACTGTCAAGATGAAGAACAGGAATAAAAGCCCTGTTCATTGATATATAGTTTGTGTTTTTTCCATGCACATTTACCTCCATATCCCTTTATTTTCTATTAAAGGGCCTGAACACAGCTTAATGCAAGTTTAGCCCTTCAATGTAAAAGGTCATATGGCAATACATTATTTTTCTTTTTAAATGATTTGATTCAGGGAGATTGGTTGTCTCACTTTAATTTAACCCATGTCATCTTTTTAGTTTAACAGAAAAGAGAGCCAGTTTTGTATTCTTTAATATAAAGTATAATTTTCCATAAAAAAACGACCAATTTTTCTGTCCCGGTAGCTTCGTATTTTCTCAAAACATTTTCTCGAACAATATCAAGACATCGGTGGACATGTAACATTGCCAAACCACGTGACAACCGTTCACCCGTCATTACCGACCACTTCGACTATGCTATTTCGATATTTTTTATTTTCTATTATCAATGTTTCATAGACTAACCGATTTATATTTTTACAATTTAGAGTAGTTTTTAAAATTAGACGAAAGGTCCTTAATTATAATAAAACTCAATTTTCAAAACAAAATTACTAATTTACAAATGAAATTCAACGCTTAGACAATAGTCATGAAGAAGGGCAATCAATGAACAAAAGACAAACCCGTGAACTGATAAGACACATAACAACAAATTATAGACAATCAACACTGAAAACTAAAATAAAAGAGAAACATGGATCCCGAAAAAACAGGGGCGACGTCAGAGGGTGAACAGAACTTGCTTCTTGCAAGACACTTGTCGTGAAAACAATTTGATATGAAGACAAGCTTTTATTTCAACTTTTTTTTTTTTTTTTAAATTTCCAACATGAGGCATTTGCCTCATTTGCCTCAATGTAGTTACGGCCCTGTTAACCACGTGGCACAATACACTGTCAATCAAAACAAAAAATCAATAATCCGCTATCGGGGCAATGAAATCTCAACAGATAGATCAGTTTCCAGTCCCGTTAGTATAATAGTCCCAGATATTTATAAACAGTTTAAATGAACCAAAAAAAAAAAAAAAATCTATTGCTGTTGGACAGATAAAATGTGTTCAATGCAGGGGACATTGGAGCTCTGTTCTTTTGTTTTAAATATATAGTATCCCTTCTGTTGTACTTGCTCATAAAATAAATTTATGGATTGTGTACCTTTAATTGTCCATCTTTTCATTCCTAGACAGTTTATAAATGATAAGTTTACTTTGGAGTAGGACCTTATATCTGCAGATTTACTACCTACCATGAAATCCAGTAAAACAATGAAAAAAGGTTTCCAGATGGATGGAAAATTCATTTCAAGACAACTGTAAAAGTAAAATTTTCTTCAGTTCGACTTTACCTCATGGAAAATTAGATATGTATGACGGTTAATTTTGAAGATGAAGAATTTTCCCACATTGGTTGGATTTTAGTGTACTACAGAAGGAGATAAATTTTGATCATTCTGCAAATCCCAAAGAGCCCTCATATATAGCTTCTCAGAGTAAAACCCATTTCCACTCTTAAGAAATTCAGATCTTTGTTCACATTTTTATTCTTGTGTCCTCTGTACTTTAAGCAGCTCTACAGTAATGTTCTTTCCATCTTTAACAAAAGTAATCAAGCATTGCAAATTACTCTTTGCCTGAAAATTGGCAACATTTCGGAGAAATCTGCTTGGCTGTTAAAAAACAATACTAATTGACGAGGAAGTCTAAAATATAGATGAGTGACTTCTATAGTAATGGTTCTTGCACTCTTTTAAATGCATCTCTACACTAAGTGATATGGTTGTAAGTTACTTGGTATCTCAAATATGAACTGAAATGAGGTAGTAGTCAATGAAGTGTAAAATATAGGAAAATAAGTGACCTATTTTTGTACGAGTCGAACTGGTAAAATATAGGTAAGAATGACAAACTGTGTGGATGGCTTTTTTATCCTCAAGTGCATCATTACATCAAGTTACATGATTGTAAGTTACTTAGTATTTGTAATTGTTTATGCCTTCATTCATCACAGACTGGTTAAGTTTACATCAAAATTCATATATTGGGCATAAAAATGCTGGTTTTACATCACTTTAGTGACCTATATTTCAGCGCTTTGCGAAAAATCAGTTTGATACATTTTTTTTAAAATTTATTATAGTTTGCTTCAAAGCTTACAATGCAAAGGAAAACTTTCTTAAATTAAGGTCTGAAGCGTTGGACACAATTAAGGTCAATTGTTCAAGCAACATGCAGGCCATTACTTGTTCAAATAGTACAACTGAATCATTCAAGCCGAAATTTATATTTTCCACGTTGTGTAAACATTTGACCCACTGACCTACAAATGGAATAGTTTAAAACTATGCAAACGACAAACATGGTAGAGCTTAGCCAGGTTGAACATAATACAAAATATCGTGAAGAAATTTTAAAGTTGCTGTGAAAAAAAATGACAATACAAGACCTTCCTTTGAAGAGGGGATATGAATTTTGCCAAATTGAATCCCAATCTGTAGCAACATATTCGAAGGGAAAGTAGGTGTTACCACAAGATATGGAAATAAAACAACATTATACTTATGAAAAAGGTTTGCTAGCAGTTTTAAATCAATATCGCACCAAAATTACATCCCTTCAAAATCTTACTCTTAATGGGCAACCATCTTAATCAGGATTAATCAACCTTAAATTAACTTAACACCAGTTTTGATAAGTATTTTTTTTAGGTAGAACCTAATTGACATAACTGTTTCTATTAAATTTTTCAACTTAAACCTTGATTTCAATATTGACAAACTCTCAGGTAGTGATCAATCAACCCTGCAGTCGAAGTATTATAAATATCTCGCCTGCTTTACTTATGATTGAATTTATGTTGAAAGTCTGTAATATGAAGGTTTTACTACAAGTATCACCTAAACTTAACATTATAAATGATCCATGAAGATAAGGTCAAGGTCTTATGAAACCTGCTAGACAGACTTGTACACCTTGCAGTCATTCCATACACCAAATATAGTGGTATTATCGCTTATAGTGCCCGAATAACAGATCAAACCACAAAATCTTACATGCAATTGACCAATGAACCATGAAAATTAGGTCAAGGTCATATGAATCCTGCCAGACAGACGTGTACATCTTACAATCATTACATACACCAGATTAAGTTGACCTTATAGTATCTGATAAACTGACAAAACCATGAAAACAATATTGACCATTGAACCATGAAAATGAGGTCAAGGTCATGTGGAACATGCCAGACAGACGTGTACATCTTACAATCATTACATACACCAGATTAAATTGACCTATTGTTTACAGTATCTGAGTGACGGACTTGACCATGAAACTTAATTTAACCTTGATCACTGATACATGAAATGAGGACGAGGTCATGTTAACCCTGTCTGACAGACATGTAGACCTTGCAACAAACAAATATACCAGAATATAGTTATCCTATTACTCATAATAAGTGGGTATTTTACATGACAAAAATACTGTTATTTTTTTTCCAAG